AAGATGATGAGGGGACTGGAGCATCTCTCCTATGAAGAAAGGCTGAGAGAGCTGGGCCTGTTCAGCCTGGAGAAGAGAAGACTGAGAGGGGAGCTCATCAATGCGTACAAGTATCTGAAGGGGGATTGTCAAGAGGATAGGGCCAGCCTCTTCTCCGTGGTGCCCAGCAACAGGACAAGAGGCAATGGGCAGAAACTGAACCACAGGAAGTTCCATCTGAACCTGAGAAAAAACTTCTTTCCTGTGAGGGTGCCTGAGCACTGGAACAGGTTGCCCAGAGAGGTTGTGGAGTCTCCTTCCCTGGAGATATTCAAAACCCGTCTGGATGTGATCCTGGGCAATATGCTCTAGAGGACCCTGCTTGAGCAGGGAGGTTGGACTAGATGATCTCCAGAGGTCCCTTCGAACCTAAACAATTCTGTGATTCTGTGATTTATGGTATACAGGTACACGAATACCTGGGGGCTTTTTTGAAGTGACACAAATGAGGCTTGCATTAATAGAGCTATTTTAAATATTCTACTTTTGTGCCCTTTATATTGAAGGTTTTGGAGTTGCAACTCTTCATTACCTACTTAGTGACTTCCAAAGGGAATTTAATTTGACAGAGGCTGCACCATCATATGAAAGTGACAGGAGACAGACAACGCATTTCATTAAAAGAAGGTTGTATCAGAAATCAATTTTGATGCAGTTTTTTTCACATCAGTGTCCTAAGATAATGTATACAGAGATTAAGCATTAGACAATTTTAGAATTCTTCAATAATATTGAAAAAGACATTGGTATAGCATTGAGGGATTATAAAATTGTGAAATACTACTGCAAACTGAATTTTTAATATAGGGGAAAGCAGTGGACATGTTTTCAGTTGCCGCCGACTATCCAAGGTCTTGTCAAGCTACTTTACTCTGTTAATTACAAATGATTGTGCCTAAGTCATTAAAATGGTCTGAAAAAATTAGTTAATCTAAAAACATGTAAAAATTGAGAAACATCCTATGGTTGGCCTTAAACTTTGAGTAATGGCAGATTAAAAGTAAACTCACTGAATTAACGTAGATCAGGGAAAAAGCCCAGTTCTCTAGTAATCGAGTCATTCTTCTGAATAATAAAAATATAAGTTAACATTTGGAACAATTTCTTGCTAAACGTTTAACAGAGAAGGTGAATAGTTCAGATTTTTATTTTGTGGATATTTGTGTGTTTAGATGAATGTTACCAACCTTAATTTAAGACTCAGGAACGTGGACTAAAAATTGCCTTTTTCAAAGCAGTTTTGAGAAGACTTCTCTAATAAAATGGTGCATTTATAGTATCTTACTTCACCCATCAATTGTTAACAAGCTACCATACTGAAAAGGTCATCAAAAGGTAATAAATACTGTAGACGTTTGGTACATGCATGTTGCACAGACTGATGTGCTGGTCACAAAGGTAGAATTAAATCTGTTTTCACCATTTTAAAAAAAGCATTAGGTTACAATTTGGGAAATCTATGGGAATTTCAACAGGATTTAGGAAACCATCTACAGTTCTCAAACTATATGCTTAATATTAAATACACTTATTGCATAGTGGCTGAAACCTCGTTTTCTAGTAAGTATAGAAAAAGATCAAAAGCTGAAGCGTTAACTTTCAAAGTTGTTCAAGAATGCATTTCTTCAATATTATGTGATTTGAGATACTACCAACATTAAAGCATTATGCGTTAGTACAGTGTAACTGAAATCCTTTAGCTAAAGCTAACTTAATGAAAAAGAACAATTAACATTTGTCTGATTCATTATAGAGGTGAAGGCAAGGTATTAAATCGGAGAATGTCATGAGAAACATGTGCGCATATTTCTCCAGTATGAATGTACATGTAGACAAGCACTCAAAAGGGGGTTATCATGCTACATAACTAATAACAAATAAAAGATTATACCTTATTGATATAATACAAAATATTGTTTTGAGCCTGCATTTCATTGCCAATTGTGAATTGACACAAAAATAATACCTAGTCCCCCTCCCAATACATCATGGCATATCTTCTTTGTAGACTACACAGTGTTGGTACAACCCCATGGCTACTTAGACAACCCTTTACTGATCACTGTGCTGGGATCCCACAGTACGCAACGGCCTAAAGCTGGCTCTGGCCTTAGACAATGCTAATAGGGGAAGGAAAGGCTCCCTCCTACAACAGGTCCCAGGACTCCTGCTCTGGTATATGGAGCTAGGACTACCCATGCTTGCCTCAACTAGAGGCCTGAATAGCTGCACCTGTAGCACAGGCACTGCTACAGGATAAATATCTATCATCTGGTGTGTAAGACCATGAATATAGGTCAGGTTAGACTTTTCTTAAGGCATTGGGGGGGGCTCAAAAATTAGTTTGAGCAAACATTCTTCTGTTTTCTTGATGACTGAATTAAGGAAAATAAAGATTCATATTTGAAGAATAAGAAGCTGCCCACCTAAAGGAAATATTTGTAGTCTGAAAAAAGTATCTTCACTTTAAATGTCATAATTTAGACAAGTTCAGATAATACAAAAAAACCCACAAAATTAGCAACTCTTCTGAATCATAAAATATTTAATAATGTATATTTCAGGGGAATATATTGTATATAAAATTTCAGATTACCATATGAAGCAATTTGAACCCTCTTCAAGCTAGCACTGCCTTCAATGCTGTATAGATTTAATGCCACTGATACAAGACCTACTAAAAGCATACAGTTTTAACTAATACAAAAGTGGCTTTTTCATATGAAATGTTTTTTTACACAACTAGTGTCTTGAATATCCTCTAAGTGCAAAAAAACCACAGATCACTTTACACTAATGTAGCAACAATGCATTCAAATTGTTCCTTAGTCCTTAAGTAGTCAACTTGCATAAGATACAAGAAAAAGCACAATGAAGCTCACAAAAATAGACTAAACATCAGCCTGTTCTTGCAAAAAAATACACCATAATGGAAGAAAGACAAAAAAGGATTATGCACACCACAGTATTTGCTGTTGTTTAAACCAACTGGCTTAAGTGCTGTTTGTTTTTTGTTGTTTTGTTTCAGGTGTTTAGTTTTTTTGGGCTTTGTTGTTGTTGAATCAAACCACACAGACTAGGCACAACTAATATTAAGGAAGCAGTGCGTAGCTAAAACTTTATGAATTTTTTTTCATCCCCACAATTTATTTTCCTCTGTCCTGAGGTAGTTACAAAAAAAACCCCCAAAACATAACTTAAGCATCAGCTAGGCCTGACCACTTAGAGCTAAAGCTTCTGGTTTTTGTTTTTTTTTTCCTTCCTTTAAAATTTTTTTGTCAACTCACCAAAACTACCTTTGATGTTAAAGACAGCTGAGAATTAGAGTTCTCATTACATAACGAAAGATGGGGGGGAGGGAAGGAAGAGGGTTAGCTGCTTCAAAACGTGACAATAGATCTCATCAAGCTGGCTGGTTCACTGTTGACTTTCCCATGTTTATTCTCCTTTACTGTCTATAAAGTCAATGGGAGAAGTATGAAAGGACTTGAACACATCATCGTCCTTTACTGTAACCAGGGAAGAACTGGTCAAGTAGTGTCTGCAATATCTTGTTAGGAACCATGGTGTATCCCTTTCCAAGGTCATAGCGGCAGGCAGGACAGGTGAAGACTTCAGCTCGGAAAGAGCGTTGTAAACAGCTCTAGGACATACAAAGACAAAGAAGTTAAAGTGTTACAGCTTTTGCTTTATATTGAAAATTTAGCTAGCAAAAATTAAGCAATTACTAGGAACCAAAGATGCCGTTTCCCACATTTCCAAAAACAGCAAGTTCTCACTGAGTTCTCTTGTCATATTTCTGCCTTTACAACTAAATGACTTAACCAAAGAATTCTGCTGCTTTTGAATAGGATACAAAGCAGTGAGTTTGGCAGGAATTAAAAAAAGTTTCACTAATGAGATACTTCATTTCCCCTAATGTGTCCCTGTGGATCAGAGTCTGCAGTTTCTTTCTAGCATTTCTGTTAGATTGCTCAAGTATTCCAGGGCTTCATTTCAAGATTTAGCTGAATACACAGGTGTATAGCATTTTATCTAACAATCTATAGCTACTTCATCTTTATGACAAGATTCAGTTTTTAAGCCTCAAAGGCATGAGTAGAATAAAATAGATTTTAGCCTACACAGTCTCTAACAGATGATTATTAATGTTGCCCTCTTTTCTTTGGTTCTCCTAGGCTGCAGATAAGTCCAAGCATATAAGTTAAACATGAAAAATTTATGAGGGCCAATTTTGCCCAAACAACAACAGTGTCTGACTGTCATTCTATACCTTAAAATTGTATATGGATGTTATTTTCTGATTTGTCATTGATAGCTTCAGATTCTATTCTTTGAGGTTGTTGCCATTAAACTTTGTTCACCATGTTTTTTCAATTTCCATCACTATATATTAAACCCCTTCATAATACTTTACCTCTATGTAACAAGCAGCTCTTTAAAGGAACAGTCTTGCTCTATTCTCATTCTTTAACTACATAAAATTAACTTAATGTTATTGTACCAACATCTAGCTCCTGGACCAAACCAATCTCTAGCGTAACTCCACTAATTACAATGGAATGACAGCAATGGTAAGCATTATGTCTATAAGAAATTATACCAAATACATTTCCACTAATTTTTACATAAAATTAAGGTTAATTGCTTATATGACAACCACAAAACTGGAAGCAAGCTTGTTCCATTTCTTGCTCAGAATGCTAGGCAATAATTATTGTCTTCCTAAAATATATTTTGGCTCTGGTGACTGGTGTCTCAGGGCCAAGAATACAGCCCAGAGCAAGACAGGGATTATTCTTACTTTACAGACGTTGTGGAGGCACTCTGTTGTCACTGGCTGGTAAACCAGCTCCTGACAGCAGACACACATAAAAGATTGTTCCAGTTTCTTCAGAAAATTCTAGTATAGGGCAAAAGAAGAAAAAATTAGAACTATTAGAGGCAGATCCACAAATATGCAAAAAAAGCATTTTTATTTAAACCTACTAAACTTTTTTAAAAACTAATTTGCCTAAGTACTGTAATTATTACATATATTTAAATTATGTACAAGCTTATGGGCCAAATTCACAGACCTAAATTGAGAAAAAAAATTTGGCCTTCATAGCATTTGGTAAATGTACAGATACATTCATAAGATACTTGCTTAACATCCTTGTTACTCTTTTCCCAAACTCACATTTAGCATGGTCTAATAATGTTACACAAGTGCTAGGAGTTGTCAAATCCGACGTTCAGCGTGATTACAGGACAGCTAGACATTACAAGGAGATTGCTTACACTGAAACTTTTCTACTGCAATCTTCAAGTCTCAGTCCAAGTTACAGATTTCCTTACCAGCATTACTCCTATATTCATGGACGTTTTACATTAAGGCATTCCCACACCCTCTGCTGCTATCACCTCTACCTGTCTTCTGCTCATTCCCCATGTTATATTGTTGTTCACAGCTTGTTCATTCTTATTTCCTCAGAAGTGAACCTCTATCGTGTTCAGTGCAAAGTATACATTTAATAAATTGTTACATTAAAAAATTTTGGAAGGCTCATCTTAAATCCTTCACATCCATGAGAAGCAGTATGGCTAACAAAATATTCAGAAAGCAAGGCCATGAACAATTCATTTCCCCACTTTTCCAGAAGTCAGAGAACTAAGGTTTTGAAGATTATTTGGTTGTATGTGAGTATCATTAAAAACAAAGAGAGCCCATCAAGCCTGATTCTTAGCACAAGTCAGAGAATTTGGAAGCTAATATCTGTATTTAGTGAATATTGCTAGAATTTTGCACATCCATGACAGATAAGTGATCACTACTACTTTGCAAAGGGAGAAGCAAAGTATCTTATACCTCTTTCACTAAGAAATTCACCTCTGCACCTGCTGAAGTGATTATGGCTAGTTTAATTGGTTTCTTCTGTCCTCACTCTGAAATACTCTGCAACAGGTAAAAGAACCTTCCTGTTTTTCAGTCTTCTCAGAGCAACTCTGAGGAATGTGGGATAAATTTTGTGCCATATATTTTATACATACAAGCATTCTTGCACAGACCTTATTCTCTGGTATTTCAGTAGTCTCAAGAATACCCACTCAGTTATAGAAGTGTAAAAACCGATCTGAAGTTACTCAAAATACAGTTCTTTGCAATCATTTTAATAATATCAGATTCATCTCAACCCAAAACTTATATAGTAAAAGTGGAAAGGTTGTTGTTTCAATCATCAAGATTTACATTTTCATTGCAAGCTTCCTAATGGTATTTGCATGATTCCCATTGCCTTTGGTGATAACTTTGATTGAAATTTCTATATGGTTATGGGCAGGAATCTAGGAAAATAACTTTCCATTAACTAAATTTCTCTTAAGATACTGTTTTCTGTTGCTTTAGAAATGCATATCTACTGCCATTTGTCACATATAATTAAGAGTTGAAAGTCTAATTATTTACAAACATTGGACAACATGCAGATAAACAGCTTATAACTTTACCGTATCGGCTCCTATACAAGTGCAGTAGCATTATAGCAATAGTAGTACTGTAAGTGGAAGAACAAGGAGTTACCAGATGCTTTTTTTCACAGTAGATAGCCCCTGGCAATTCCCAAATAAAGTGATTTTGTACATTCATTTTTAGGCATCCATTCTCTATGTAATGTTTTGGTCTTTCATTGACTTGACAGTAACCTTTACCAAATTTCTTAAACATTTTGATATCTTGATTGCTTTTTCTTCTGCAAAACAGTTAAAATAACTATGAATTGGAACATCAATAAAACTAATTAATGTTTTGGGGGACTAATGTTTTTTAGAGACTAATACAAAAAAAAATTCCACAAATCTCTTCAAACTTGAACTATCCTTGCTATTTTCTTTACATTTAGGGGAGGGAAGTATTTCCTCTTTTTTACTTAAGGTTCCCTCTATAGTGAGAGGAATAACTAAACTTGGGTTAAAAATACTGTCATATTGAGACTTAGATACCAAATGAAAATATTTCTTCTATCTCCTTAAGTGAAGGAAATTACATGCCCCATCATCAGTTGTTTCTAAACAAATACTATGTATTCAGCAAATTTTAACAAGTGAATTAGGTTTTAACAAAGCCTCATTTCTCCTAACTCTATATAAAGAAATGTTAAAAATGAAGAATTTAAGCAAGTTGCAAGCATACTGGTCCTTCCTCAAGAGAAGCAAGTACTTCATCCCACAGTTTCTGGTTCATACAGTCTTCTCTAATCAGCCACTGCTGTTCTTGGGTCAGTTGGAAAGCCTCTCCTTTCCCTCCATCTCCCATTCTCATGGCTTTGGATGTATTTGTAGGTTCCTCTATACCTGTTTAAAATTATGACAAGATACAGTAACAGTGGTAGGGAAGACAAAATTGTTTCTAGAAGGCTAAAACATGAATCGCATCTATGTAATGCTGCAATGAAGCTCCAATTCAATTTGTTCAGCTTTATTTGGACTATAGCATACAATTACATAGAAGACTTCATTTTTCTATGGAGCTTAAGAAAAAGAAACCTTAAGAGTATTGAACAGAACCATAAGATCCCCAGCTTCCCATTTTATTACTGAGCATATAACACTTTACACTTGAATTCCAAATGACTTCCAACTTCCTCAGTGTTTTCATACTATTGACTCAATATACATAACTCGACAGAGCTCTAACACTAAAAAGTAAAAAGAAATACCATCATCAATTGTCCTTTTCTGGTTTCCATTACTCTGGCTGGTTGGCTCCTGTTTCACAGTTTGCTTCTTAACCTTATCCTTTTTCTCTTTACTAGCCATGGCTTCCAAATAGCCTTCTGGATACTAAAAAAAACCCCCAAAAACAGATTTAAAATAAAATTCACTGGCATCTGGGAATTCCCAAATACCAACAAGACTAATTTCTAAAGGAATTGAAATAGTATCAAAATAATTTTAAAAACTCTATATAAACAAGAAAGCTTTTAAATTAATATTCATTTTTAGAAAATTGTAAAGTGAAAGAATCTGATTTAGAATGAATTTTATTAAAAGGCACCTTATATCCATATCTACTACATCCCTCCAACTACACAAACCAGAAAGCTAAAGTTGAAGATGATGTCATGTAGCAAAACAACCCACCCAAAGGAAAAGATTGGTTTGCTGAGAAAAGAAATACTACTTTGATTCTTCCCATCTTCCACAAATTTCACAATGCCAAAGTCCCCACAGGCTAGTTTTATCTCCCTGCCTGAAATATGTTATTTATCTCCTCAATCATAGATTACAAGTAGAGAAAAATATAGAAAAACTTATATTTTTTCTAAGTTCTCAGAAGAGACTCTACTACAAGAGTTACATTTATAAATCTTATCAAGTGTAAGGATCACAAAACTGGATTCAAAGTCATAATTTTCTGATCCATATATAGAGTAGTTCACTGTTAAGGCAGAAAGCTTCATCCATAATTCTGCTTTGCCAATATCATAGGGTTTTTCAAATTACAGATGATCCAAAATATTTTTTGATCTTAGACCCTGCCCCAGTGAAGTATATGAAAATAGGGCTTAAGTTAAATTCTGATTCCTAGTTTTAAAATTTAAGTAAGACTCTATTTACTTGAACAGCATATCAGAGCAACTTTGTGAACACTGATTCTGACCTGTACACTCAGCCCCAGTTTCTTTGACCGTTCCATCCCTTCTGAAGTCCAAGGTGCGGGTTCAATATCATCTCTTCTCAGAAGATAGCGCCAAACTAAGAACCCACATTTTCCAATTTCTGGCCAATATTTTACCACCTAAGGGTAAATAACAACAATTTTATGTTTTAACTATAACACTAGATCCTCAAATTTAATTTAAAAAAATCTGTCCAAATATTCAACAGACATTCTACTAGGCAGTCATTATTTTACCACAAACCAAACACATGCAGGTAGTCATACTTTATTGGCTCAAAGCAAAGAGAGAAATTTTGAATTATATGTTATTATTTTAAAGTATCTCTTCTCTCAGTTGGGAAACATTTGTACTTTTGATAAATACAATACTGTTTTAAAAGATGCACATCTTTATTCCAGATACTGAGAAGATATTAAGTATATGAAAAGCCAGAAAGGTAGTTGGAAGGAGTGCAGAAATCAATTGATTTCCAAGGATGAATATGACTCAGCAAGCACACACAAAAATAAGCTTATATATTCAACTTGATATATCCTATTATAGATTGTGTTCTATTATCACTGCTCTGAATACTTTAATTTCACTTCACTACAGAATGAGGTAGGCTAAACCATCCTCACAGTAACAAAATAATTATTCTTTCAAAAGCAATAATGAAGTTTGCTATGTAATACACAAAAGAATCTTAAAAAATGTCTTAAGAAAAATAAAATGCTATATATGCAGTAGAAATCACAATACCTTGTAAATGCCATCATATCTGTTGCCTTCTTCTGGGGCATATTTGCTGATCCGTCGTCCTTTTGAACTGCGCACTACTCGGACTGGTTTACCAGCTCTCCAATTCTTAGACTCTGCTCCATTTTTATCATCCAATGGGGCATCACAGTTAAGGGCCAATGCCCTGAAAAACACAAAAATCTTCATAGAACAGATTGCTTCATATAGCATACTATTGAGAATCAATGTGACAAGATCAAATTTATTTGTCTTGTCTAAGTATGTTTTATCAAGCAGCAGCAGAAGTGAATTCCTCAAGAGACTACAATACTGATGGAAGCACTGAGATCAACTCTACCATGTGGAATACAATATATTTAATTCCAAACGTTTATAATGAAAACTCAGCTAATATAGTTAAGTAAAAGAAACCAATACCTTCAGGTTTAATGTTTTTCATTTTTAAAAATTATTATTTCTCAAATAACATAGAAGGAATTAAAAAAGTTGTAACAATGCCAAATTTTCCCTCTCACTATTCCACATTACTGCAGATTTTTAGGCTTTTTAAGTATTTATGAATTGATAAACATTATGAAAAGTAACATATGGAAAAAAGTACACAATGACTATCCAAAAAGATATCTGTAACAAACATTACTCTTCTTAGTCCATAAACTGTCTAAGATTAGGAGTTAAATGACATGAACTAATTCAAAGACAAGGAAACCATAATGGTCTTTCCTATATACCCTTAATCTTAATATTTCTATATACCCTTATTATATCTAATGCCATTCTTTCTATATCTAGAAGAATATAGATGGATCATCAAAGATACAGAAAAGAATAAATATCAGTAAACACCACAGTAAGGTTCATTCTTGTTTAGTTGCAGCATCTCCCACATTTACATTTTAGCCTTAAGAATGGATGAGAATAAGAATGGATGTGCATGAAGTGGGAAAAGTATTGTTTGGGGTAGGAAGTTAAAATCTTTATGGATAAACACTTATCCTTCCAAAAGCATCACAGGGAAATAAATCTCAGGGAGAAAGCCGGCATTTCTTTTTATACAGTATTTATTACATTAAGTAATGGTATTTATATCATATAACTTTAGGTATCTGGAGCTCCATACAATAAATGGGCAGAAATAAGCTCTAGCTTGCTCTGAGTCTCTCCTGAAGTACTTACTTTTATCCACTAACTATATAGGTGCCCTATTCTAGACACTTGGAGTAAGATAGTATGAATCTCTCCCTGACTAAACAGTTTTAACAGAAAATATTTTAATAACCATATATTGATTTGAGTGTCGATGAACAAAAGTCTCTGGAATCAGAATCAAACCCAACATGGACCACAAAAGAAACAATGGCTCTTAGAAAAATATGGCAAAATCTACAGCCCGTATTATACAGAAAAGTAAGGAAAGGTGAAGTAATGCAGGTTTTTAAAATGTTTATTTTATAAAGATAAAATAAACAATCTGGACAAATGAAAAAATAGTTCTGATTCTATTACATGGAACCATACTAAACTCCTGCTTCAATCATCATAAGGGTTGAGAACATTAGACCCAAAGCAAAGACTACCACCATTCAATCAAAATGGATAACTGGTAGCACCATGTTATACTCCATGTAGATCAACTGCTACAGTGCAACAAGACACACACTTTGCCAGTGGATTTCACAACCATTTGCTGAGAGCAGAGGAATGGCAAGACTAAGGAGTCTAGGTTTTATTCCAGGTTCCAATAAAAAGTTTGTTTTAATGATTAAAAGCCATTATAAACCTGCTGCCCAAATCTATTTTTGTCTCTCTTCCTTCCACACTCTTGCTCTTGTTTCATCCTCTATCTCCTCCTCCCTCAGCATCCAAGTCAGGCTTTTCCTCTTTCTCTAAGTACCAGCAGAGAGTCTGAAAGAATTCCTCCCCACTCAGTTCTGGTGCATGACAGCAGCACATCACATCCAATGGCAGATCTGGCAGAGAAAGTCCCAGTCAACCTTAGCACCCCATATCTGGTACGTGGTCAGTTGCTTTGTGGAGGTGGTATACACTTAGAAATATAAAGGGATGTAGAATTCCTAGAGTTTAGGCAGGCTATTTACAGAACATAAATATACTTTAAGCAAATGTCTAATTTATTTTTTCAGGCATTTTTTTCTTCAGTCAATTTTTTCTGCCTACAACTTGGCAAAAAAATAGGCCAACTTTTATCAGGGACATCAAAACACACAACCTAAAGGCAAAGCAAAACTAATTCCTTGTTCTTCATACAAAGCATGAAGGCACTAAAGGCTATCAAAAATATGCAAGATTTCTTTTAGTATGGGCAAATGAACATACTTTCTTCATACCTAACTTTCATAAATTGTTAAACCATTTAAGATGAAACTTTATAAGAACAATCTGAGGCAAACACCCAGCACAGAAAATTTCAACCTAAGAGGTTTAAGTTTTGCAAACTTCTAATCAGCTGAAAAACAAGTCTTCTCATAGGAAGTGTTGGAGAATTTCAACTATAGAGACATAGCTACCACCTGCACCTGTAATACAGCAATATATTTTAATCAGTTACAAATACTTCTTTAAATCAACATAACACAATGCTTGACAAAATGCCTCTAAATAGCAAGAGGTACCACTGTTTACAGTAGCAGTAGATGTATAAGAGGGAACAAATTTTGCAAAATATTATTTTTAAATTAAAGGAATACAACTCAACTCTTTGGTCTGGAACATTTTTTTAATTTAATCTTCAAAACTTACCTGTTCATGTGTGTTAATGTTTGATCAAACGAATGTTCTCCAATTCTTTTATTGCCAGAAAGATCTCTACCTCCACTCCCAGTATAAGTGAATTCATCTCCTCGGTCCTGTGTAGGAAAATTATCCTCCATTTTAACATTCCTAAATAAAGCATTTGAACTGAAAACCTGCTCCTTCATTGGTTCTATTTACTCAAACAAGAACAATTGCCTGAGGCAAAGAAAAACGTGTGCTCAGTTTCAACATCATTCTCCTTTCAGAGTAATTGTGCCAGCAAAAAGCCACTGGTCCAGATGTAACATATTCATCAGAAAGAGATAATAAAAATATAACTGCCTTACAAAATTCTTTGAACTCTTCAAACATTACTTTTAGTTACACAAATATTTCTGATGGAGGGAATGTATTCTAGTTAGTGTTTACTCATTCTCTCTCTAACTTCACAGCTTACAAGAAAATCACATTTGGAAAATATGTAATACATCACTCAGAAGCCTCATTTCCACTTGTGCATGGGACTGAGCTCTAAAGTACTTTGTACTTAAGTACAAGACAGGTACTTTACTTCAATAACACTATACTCATTTACTATCAAGTCAAAAAATTCAGGAAAAAACACAAACAGAAAGGAGGTGTCTAAGGTTTTAGGTTTTTTTTTCATTTACAGAGGTCATTCCCCCTTCAATTTCAGTTTTCTGAACTACTAAGAGCTTAGAAGACTCATTTAGATGCAATTTCATGAACTAACATAATTTTGCAGTAGCCTGTATTTCCTAACAATTAATTTTTTGAAAATGAATGAAGTTTGATTAAACCTTCTTTTAACACAAACCTTAAAAATAATGAAAATATACATAGCACTTAAGTGAAGCCACTATTAATATTTTTTCTTTAGACAATGTCACAAATTTACAACTCATAAAAAACCAAAGTATTTTAGAAAAGACACAAATATATTTATAATAATCTCTCTCTCTTAAAATGCAAATCTTTTACAAAACATGAAGCATCAGTATAAAATGAATACTTAGTAAATTAGTAATTTTCATATGCAGTTTCAGACCAAAAAATCTAAACATACTGGTATGCAATAGTAAAATTTAGTCAATTTCTTACCACTATTAAATGTTTGACATCAACATGGAACTAATACAAATCCACAGCAAGATTATTATAGCTATTTTATGATTGGCAATAGCAGAACAAGAGAAATATCATGACAGAGAAATGCTGGTTGTATAGGGCCATAAAGTAACTATAGAAATGGTATTTACTTTATTCTGTGTAGAAAAAAATCTTAACAAATTCAGCAACAGTTACTAGAGTATTTCTCCTTCAGATTTATTTAGATATAACAAAAAGCAAACCCTAGAAAGTAAACATTTGTGTTGGAAAAAATATTGAAAATAGAATATTTAAGGAAAGGATATACCAGGATTTATACAATAGCATTGTTATATTTATTTCTAATCAATGAACTTTCAGTAAGATATAGCAGATATAAAAGGATGTCATACATGGGCAAAACGGAACAACTTCTGAAGACAGACAGACTGCAAAGACTAGAACTGTTTACTGAGAAAAGTTCTAGAAATTTATAAAATGATGAGGCATCACAGAATTGAGCTCTTATATGTCTAATTTTTTCACTGATTGGTAAATAAATATTAAGTCACTGCCAATAAAATGTGCAGATCACAGAAAGATGACTGGAATAAGTAGTAGTAACAGGAACAGGGCTCTCACATGGATTGAACTGGATTTGCTTGGTAAATTGAGCCCATTCGAACAAATTGCATTTTAACATCAAGTAAGAAGCATGTGCCAAACCCACAAAATGGAAAGGCCCATCCTGAAAAATTGTGAATCCAAGAGGATTTGGGTTTCATAACAAACGAGAAAAATGAACATGCACTCACAGTGCAGCAGTGTGGCCAAAAAGGCTAATGCAGTCTGCTGATGTATATAAAGAGAGCGGTAAGCAGAAACTGGAAAGTGTTTTTACCTCTTTTACAGCACTGTTGAAACAAGTATTGGAATAGCATATTTAAAAGGATGTCAAAAAACTGGAGGGAAAAAAAGGAAACAAATGAACAAGACTGGAGAAACTCACAAGAGACAAAGGGTATAGTCTGTTTAGTTTAGCAAAAAAGAGTATGTACAAGTACCTTAATTAAGAGAAAATACTGAATACAAAAAGACTTATCTAACAGACAAACATAAATCAAGGACAAATGGCTAGAGGCTTAAGCCAAACAAATTCAAATGAGAAGGCACAAATGTAACTATTTATAATTAACTACTAGAACAAATTTCCATGGGAACCAGGGAATTCTCAAACTTTTAATGTCTTCAAAGACTAGATGACTCTGGAAGATATTCTTTAGCCAAACCTATATTTTAGCCACAAGCTATTGGGCTTAATGAAGAGATACGATAGATGTAAGGCCTGCGCATACATACTCACTTGTTGAAAAGATCCTACACCCTTTCAGTGTTCTACACATGAATGAGCAAAATCCTACAGATTTGGGGCAAACTGGAAATCCAGGAGAAGGAAAGTGGGGGACAAATAGAACACTGATATCTTTTTAGCAAAATTACAGCTTTAAATATTTGCATAATTGTTATAGATCAAATAACCAGAGGATGGCATCCCTTAACACTTTTCAGTATAACAGTACCCCTTATCTCATTTGGCTCATCTTCTCAGAAGAACTACACATGCCAATGCATTGACTTAACACCCCCCCCCCAAAAAAAAAACAAACTGTGGGGAAAGATGACAGTTCCTGGAATAGGAGGAAAACAGGACTGATGAGCAACTTAAAGTCCTCATCATAGTAAAGAAGAACAGGGGTGCTGATTTGGAGGAAGGGGGGAAATGGAAAGGACATTGAACCTCTGATTTAAGGTGAAACAGGATATACAAATAGGAAACCCCAGAATAGGGAGAGGGAGAAAGACTGGAAGAATATGTAATTGCTAGCAGAGAGAAAGAAGCCTAGATTGGCAAGAAATGGGGCGACACAGTCATTAGAGTAAGGTAAGTATGGGCATACATACAGTTTGTGGCACGCAGGAGTGATACTTGCAGAGTAGGAGGGAGGAATGGAAGACATACAGAACCTACCTCCACAGGAGTTAATGCATTTTACTTTGAAATTGGAGTATGCCAGGAATATACACACAGCCAACTACTAAGGATCTGCTGATGGGTAGTGACTCATTAAGCCATGATTCCTCAATAACTTTGAGTTATGATCCTACCTACAGACAATTCAGGATATTTCTATCAATCTCCGTAATGTTCAACTGACAGCCTGTATGTGACAGGTGAGGGTTGAAGGCTGCTTAAATTTTAACAGGCTCAAAGGGCAGAGCTCAAGATACTGATACTGCTGTAAAATCTGGATTGGATAGGCAAATAAAAGATTGAAAATGGTGACATTCAGCAAAGGAAATTTGTTAGTGGCATCTGCATTCCAACTGTTTGTGAGAGGCCTGAAGTCCCTCTTTAAAAACAACGTAATTGTCAAAAAAATGCTGCTAAAACACATTCTTATCTTTCCTTTCTTCCTTCCTCCTACCTTTCCCCTCCAATTTTCCTACCTTAAAATAGGTAATTTTCTCCTATTTCTCTTCTGCTTTCCAAAGCTTGATTCCACTTCCTTGCACCAAAACTTTCTGTCAGCAGCTAACAAGACTTTTCGGTATTCTCTCTTCTCTTAATGCCTTCTGTCTTTCTCTCTCTTTCCTTATGTCATCTCCATAAAATTATTTCTTAACTGTCCTGTTTGTAAAGTGTTTTGGACCAAATGAGCCACTGCTCTGTATAAGTTTTCTATTATCTCAATAGGAGATGTTAGAGATGTGAGTTCATTTTTCAAAGGAGTGCCTCAACAAGCTACTCAGCCTCAAACATACAAGACAGAGAATGCAAGATAGTCACAAAGTAAGATTACATTAAATCACATTTCTCTATTTCAATGATGGTTCCTCTGTTGTATAGCCAGTTTTGAATCTAACAAACAAATAATGGAGAATCAAAGAGTAACACTAATTTCCACTAATGTCCTCAAGCATAGTGTTCCTATTGGCTAGGCTCAACTCTGAAGTCATGCAGCAGTTCACAAGGATATTAGTTACTACAAGTTATGTGAATTTAGGCTATCTGAAGATGGTTCCAAATCAATTTCCTTTCCATTTAATATCTATCTTCAGTAATATGCTCAGATTTTGAAGTTCAGTATCATATATGCACATAAAAACTGTATCTATCAATAAATAAAATATTCTATGATTAAAGGTTTCATTAGTATCACAAAAACAAAAGTCCTTTCTTTAAAAAAAAAAGAAGCTATTAAAGCCAAGACTAGGTTTAAATATAGGACTCTTGTTTGAAAGGATATAATAGGGCTTTTCAGGCTGTGAAAGTAACCTTGAACACAATGCAAGTACAAACGAGGAGACAATAAGTGGTTTAAAGATCAGGAGACAGGGAGAGATTTCACAAAATGATGCAAGAAAGATAATTTTAAGTAGCAGCATTTTGTATAAACTGAAAGGTAACAACAATATGGAACAATACGTAAAGGAAGGTGGAGAGGAGGCTGTTGTAGGACAGAAAATAATAGTCTGCCTAAGAATCTGAAATACCAGTAACAAGAAAGTATGAATTTTAAAAATACTGCACAGCAAAATAATGTCAAATATGCCCTTAATATCATAGGTGATAAGAGGGAGCAGATAACAAATCTGAATGAACGGGAAGATGTTTGGTAGCTATTACCATAGTAGAGAGAACACTCAAAATGTCTCACACTGGAACACGAGTTCCAAACTAATAGGCGCCAACTCAGTATGGCACTAAAGAGATCTTGGAAACATGACAGCATCTATAGAAATGGACAAGTGTCAGGTTTTCAGCTCCATAATCAGTTTAAATGACTTATGCTAGACAGATTCAGTCAGTTACTTTTACTAGTCAGTGTAATGACTGTAATGAGCTTCTGATGATGAGCTTTTGTTCCCAGCAATATAAACAGAAATGAGAAAAACTCAAAGGACCTGCACCCTCAGCAACAGAGTCAGCAGGGCATGATATTTCAAGACATTTATATGTGATACAACAGTTCCTTTGTACCTAGCACATCAGTAACAGGTCTCACACTGGATCCAGATGACATAGGTGTCTAGCTAGCATAGATACAGATCATACATACCATTTTGACTAGCAGTTTACCCAGATCTTTGGATATAACAAGTGTTGACTCAAATCTGAAGCGCCTATTGCCACTTCATTTGTATTTAAAACCATTTCAATAAGCAATTCATCAGTCATGGCACTGCATCTTTGGCACTGGTGGAAATGATATAGTATTTTCATTGAGCAATGAATATTAAGCAATGATTCAGAAGTGCTGGATCCTCATCATAAGCCCTAGATAAATCTAGAGATCTGAATATCATTTATGCTCTAACTGGACAATTTCAAGCAAGTAGAACACAAGTATATTGACACCTTGGAACTGACTACCGAAACACAAAATTGATGTGGATACACAGACTATACAAAATGGACAGTGGACTGTTTCATAAAGTAGCTCATTAATGCCACATTCCAGGCACTAGATTTGGTTGACCTGGATTAATCAAAGAATCTAAGCAACAAGTATATTAGCTTAGAGTCCCTTTTGAGTCATTAGAACTACTATATATATGTATAATATATATACACACACACATACACACACACACACACCCTCAGAATCTTCTGCAAGAGGATGTGAGGAATCACAGCAGATACTATTCTCTAAGCGATTCTAAACCTCAATATCAAGAGGCACCATATGAACCTATATGCAAAAGTCACTTAATGAAGAAACAAACTTTGTTAATCTGAAGAATACTGAAGGAAGATTAATTATCATCTTAATTACACTACCCCAATCCAGCAGAAGCAAGGATCTCAATATTTTTACAAAAAGAGAGTAAACATCATTTTTGACTCTAACTCAAAAGCAGAGACAACAACCAGAATGACAATTTTCCAACTCAAGGAAAAAGTGAAATCTCTTCAGTCATTTCATTTGATGAACAGATGCTTCAAAATCATTTAACCATGAGGATTGTGATTGTACCTTTCACAGTAGCTGAAAGTATCTACTATCTGGGTTACAAATGTTAATCCATTCTGAAAAAATTCTTAGATTTCAAATTCACAAAAGAATTCTTGATATTTCTTCAGTTAATATGTCCATTACAGTTATTAAGCATCAAGAACAGGACCACCTGATTTGCAATTTTAACAAATCCAAGACTAAATCTAAGCACTGTAAGTAATGCATCTTAAATCAGGTAATGAAGGTAACCAAATTCCTTGTCACTAAAACCTAGGTTAAACATTCACAAGAGAAAAATTAACATATAAACATTTTCGATGCATGTAACTAAGAATGTTTTACATATGAAGCTAAACTTTATTTAGCCTAATGCTAATTTTGCAAAGCACAACCTTATTCCTTCTCAATTTTGAGGCCCAATCCTGTATTGATGCAATTTGTTATTACCAAGCATTCCAACACTTCAGGTGAGCAAAGTCCCTTACAAGCCTGTTTGCAGGATCATGAGCTTTCAAATGTGAATCATAAAAAAGACAAGAGCTGAAAAGAGCTCTTGTCAAAAAAGCCAAAGTGAATTTCTATTTCCTGCAGTATATTTTTGAAAGTACTCTTACTCAATGATAAATTGTTCATTCAGAGCCAAAAAGACCATTAAAGAGGTAGCATGTTGGCAGTGAGTAGAAAAAGTTTGAAAGAAATTATAAACATACAGTAAAATGTCTTCCAAAATGTACTTATTTCATAGAATCATAGAATGATTTAGGTTGGAAGGGACTTCTGGAGGTCTCTAAGTCCACTTGCATCCAATGCCTCTCATCCTTCCACTGTGCACCTCCAAGAAGAGTCTGGCTCTGTTTTCTCTACATCCTCCCATTACGTAGCTGAAGACAGCAATAAAATCTCCCCGAGCCTTCTCTTCTTAAGGCTGAACAAACTCAGTTCTCTCCGTGTATGTCATGTGCTCCAACCCCCTGACCAGCTTGGTGGCCTTCCACTGGACTTGCTCCAGTATGTCTATCTTATATGTCCATGTCTGTCTTTTACTGAGGAGCCCAGAACTGGACACAGGACTCCAGATGTGGTCTCACAAGTGCCAAATAGAAGGGAAGAATCCTTTCCCTTGACCTGCTGGCTACACTCTAGCTAATACAGCCCAGGATGCAGGTGGCCTTCTTTGTTACAAGGGCATGCTGCTGCCTCACGTTCAACTTGTCTACCAGGACCCCCAGGTCCTTTTCTGCAGAGCTGCTTCCTAGCCAGTCAGCCCCCAGACTGTATTGTTACATGGGGTTATCCCAGCCCAGATTCAAGACTTGGCATTTGCATTTGTTGAATGCCATGAGGTTCCTGTCAGCCCATTTCTCCAGTCTGTCCAGGTCCCTCTGAATAGCAGTCCTGCCCTCCAGCATATTGACTACTCTCCCCAATTTGATTCCGTCCACAAACTTGCTGAGAGTGTACTTTGTCCCATTGTCTAGATTGTTAATAAAAACTATTAATCGTTAATAATGATTGTTAATAAAGACTATTAACTATAGTTATTAACTAGTAACTATAACATACTACTAAGATTCCAGTAGAATTCACCATGATTGTACAAGAGCAAGAAAAGGAAGTGGTTGGAGGGGATCCAAAGTTTTTACTTGTATTTTTATTAAAGTTCTGTTGGAGAAAAGGGATATTGTGTTTAGTATACTTGTAAGTACAAAATTTAATCTTCCCCTGTGTGTTCTTAGAGGTATTAAAATTCAACCTCTTTCAACCAACCTTGGAAAATGGAAATAAACTGGAAAATAGAGTTTTAGTATATGGAAAAAAGAATTGAAGAAACTAACACCAACTGAAAAAACCCCCCCAAGCTGTTTCCTTTGCATCCTCAAAGGACTGCAAAAAATCTTAGTCACACAAGTCACAGTCACACACAAGTCACAGTCACACCTGTAATATTTCTCCCTATCCATTCTTCTTTCCAAACTATATGTCGACAAGACTATGACATTACTCAATTGTCCTCAGAAGCACCTGATCATACCAGCACTTTGTTGAATTGGAAAGGACTTTGCAAGGATCCAAATGAGATTATTCTATCCTAAGAATTGAAGCATTAGAGCAGCAAGGCTAACATTAATATCACTACCAAAAAAGAATGGAAGCTGCAGCATCCCAAGCTACCCATTATAACTACTGAGCAGCAGGGTGTTTTTTAGGAGGCAATAGCTGTGTGCCCTGGAGCTTGTGTTCAGGTTGACTCCAAGGATGTTTTAATGTACCAACACTAAATACCTCCTCACATGATTTCCCCAACAGTGAGACAATGATGCCTTCAGAGTCAATCTCCTACAGTAGCAAATAAATGCTGTTGGCAGAGAATATATAACATTCTGATGCTATTTAGGATGTTTACTTAATTTCATTGTCTACAGCCTTTGTCCTTGCAATTAACAGTTACCTGTGTTTTTATACAGGTTTTGTAATGCTTTATTCTTCACCTGAAGCATGATTCAGAATTCCACCTGATAAAATAGAGCTACAAAAAGGGAAGTACCCTATGTAAACATTGTCATGATTACAGAAAACAGTAATCTATTCACACACAAATCTTGGTCGAAAGGAAGGAAGGAAGGAAGTTGGACAAAATTATTATTTCATTTAGCAGTATAACTGCTTTGATTACTTTAGATGTTGACATCAAAGTAAAAAAATTTCCAGCATCTTCCCTTGGGTAATAACAATACAGGATACTGAGACTTTCCTATCAAGTACTGAGAGCCCTGATCTGTAAATTACATCAATGGGAGTCGAGAACCTTCAGAACTTCATAGGATCAAGTCACATGCATCTTTTATCCTGACCTCACTAAAATTAAAATACATGATGTTTTTTACTTTAGAGGTATAACAACTCCAAAAGAGGAAGCATCTATCTGTTTAATTTGACAACAGTAAAAATAATGACCAGGGCAGAATTTAAAGTACATCACTTGCAAAAGTCACTGATTTATGGTATCATATTTTAAATGATAATAAATTCAAACTATATAAGTATATGAAAGTTAATTTCCATAAACATTTTAAAATTCAGCTGCAATTGAAGTACTTTATATGAGACTAATAATATTCTTTCAGAAAAAATTGTTTGAATATATCTTCTAAAAATAGTAACAAATAGCAGATTAGATACTGGGTAGTAGTAATTTTTGCATATTCATATTTTCATAAATACTAATTTTAGGATCAGCAACAAACACAACTTCCCATCTTTATAAACTTTAAAATAACATATTAGTGGTTTGAATAAATGACATACCACTTCATCTTCAAATCCTCCAGCTAGTACAAGTGAATAAGCTCCATCGTTACTGCGCCCATGGATTCCGCCAACATGGGGCCTGTGAACACCTGCTTCACTCACCTTGAGTATTAAAAAAAGAACAAGTTTTTAAATAACTTTGAAACAATTGGCCACCTGCAATCACTTTTAACAATCAATTTTCTGCTTAAAAATTATTTATGTATGTTTATGTAAGTTAACAAGATTGCAATTAGAGGAAAGAAATTTACGAATTTTATAGATTTTTTTTTACTTAGACCAGCCCAAAGCAGATACAGATTATCATTCTAACTCAGTAGCATTTTATATTTGTATAAGTAATTATGCAAGAAAGATCAGTGAGTCAAATTTTTCTGTGAAAATTATGCCGAGTACTGTTCAAAGTTAACACACTTAATCTGTGACCAACTCAGAGAAATGCAATGACATTTACAGCCTTCCTTCATATCTAGACATTTTCTCTTTTTCCAATTCTGTCCAACTCCTATACTTTTTTCCCCACCCACACTTTTATGCAATTTTATAAGATTTTACATTCCTTTGCTACAGGCTTCTACTTTCATAAGAATATAACAGTGGGCAAACTGCATCAGACCAAAGGTCCAGCTAGCCAAATATCCTCTCACTGACAACAAACGAGCAGATAGTTAGTGCACAGTATGAAAACTGACTATGCAAGGGCACAGTGATACTTTCTTGCATAAGAGAGAGAAATGAGCAGAGAGGAACCTCATGAAGTTCAACAAAGGCAAGTGCAGGGTCCTGCACCTGGGGAGGAATAACCCCATGCACCAGGACAGGCTGGGGCCTGACCTGCTGGAAAGCAGCTCTGCAGAGAAGGACCTGGGAGTCCTGGTGGACAACAAGTTAAGCATGAGCCAGCAATGTGCCCTTGTGGCCAAGAAGGCCAAGGGTATCCTGGGGCTGCATTAGGCAGAGTGTTGCCAGCAGGTCGAGGGAAGTGATCCTGCCCCTCTACTCAGCCCTGGGGAGGCCACATCTGGAGTACTGTGTCCAGTTCTGGGCTCCCCAGTACAAGAGAGACACGGCTCTACTGGAGAGAGTCCAGCGGAGGGCTACAAAGATGATGAGGGGACTGGAGCATCTCTCCTATGAAGAAAGGCTGAGAGAGCTGGGCCTGTTTAGCCTGGAGAAGAGAAGACTGAGAGGGGAATCTCATCAATGTCTACAAGTATCTGAAGGGAGGGTGTCAAGAGGATGGGGCCAGACTTTTCTCCGTGGTGCCCAGCAACAGGACAAGAGGCAACAGGCACAAACTGAACCACAGGAAGTTCCATCTGAGCATGAGGAAAAACTTCTTTCCTGTGAGGGTGACTGAGCCCTGGAACAGGTTGCCCAGAGAGGTTGTGGCGTCTCCTTCCTTGGAGATATTCAAAACCTGCCTGGACGAGATCCTGGGCAATGTGCTCTAGGTGACCCTACTTGAGCAGGGGGGTTGGACTAGATGATCTCCAGAGGTCCCTTCCAACCTTGGCCATTCTGTGATTCTGTGAATTTCTCAGTTTCCAGCTATGTATGGCTCAGATTTCCTGAGCCAAAGGCATAATCTTTGCATTTCATGGAAAAAAAGTTAACCAATGGTTATTAATTTATGTAATTGAGTTCTGAAATCTTGTAAACTCTTAGCATTCACAATGTCCTACAGCAAAGAGTTCAAAGCATTGCTGCATATTGTATGAACTAATACTGCTTCTGTTCATTCTAAATCTGTCACCTGATCATTTCATTTGACGCCCCCTCCTTTTGCATCAAAAAAGAATATACAGTTGTTCCCTATTTACCTTCTTCAATTTTAATAGACCTCTGGTACCATACCATCTTTCTTACAATTCTTGTATGAAAGCCATTCCATACCTTTAACCATCCTTGTTCTTCATAATGATATTTTGTTTTTCCTCTTCCTTTCTTAATAATTCCTAACACTTGATATACTTTTTTGACCACTACTGAGCACTAAGATGGCATATTCACAGAATTATCTATTACAAGTCCTCCTTCTTAAATGAAAATAATTATCTGAAAGCCCTTCGTTGAATATGCAAAGTTATGATTTTTCCCCCTCATCTTTACTATCCATGACAACTTAGCATTGCCACTTAACTGTCAGTTATTTGTCAAATTTTCTAGATCATTTATGAATATGTTGAACAGCACAGGCCTCAGTAGCACTCTGTTCTCTCCCATTCTATTAAATATCATTTAATTCATTCCTCTCTCCCTTCTTTCATGTTCATGAGGTATCCAGAATTTGACTTAAAAAATTTAATTTCTGCCATTTCGATGCTGTATCCAGAAACAATTCTCAGTCAATTTCCTTCTAGGGAAAAGAGAGTTGTAAGCCTTAGAACTACATGACCATGCATAATACATAATACATCACATTTAAATATTCTTAAGAAGCTTGTTATGTGAAAAAACTAAAACCATGGGACAGCATTCACAGCATTTTCCTTCTAAACTCTCGTAAATCTGCTAAGAGCCCATTTTTCATACAAAAGAGCAGTCAAATCAGAAATAAGTGCAACTTTTTATGTGGAAAAAATGTTGATCTTTTTTCAAAGTATGTAGTTAATAAATAGCCATTGTTAAGTAATTATGTACAAATGATAACTCTTCTTTTAATAGCTACTCCTTACACTATAAGTCTTGTCTGCTTAATTTTCTGACAATAACAAACCTCTCTACTTATATTTCTGTTTGCGATCAGCACTAGAAAGATCTGGAATCTATTCGAGCTTGTGTGTCACCAATGGAGTTCTTAAAGAGATGAACTCATAACTTTAAATACTGGCTGATCCAGTAAGAATAAAATTTGACTCTGAGACCTTGAGTTTCCAGAACTGATTTTTAAAACTTCCTTTATTTATGAGAATATAATTGATCTGGAAGCGAATTAAAAGATTAATGATTACAGAGGTACATTGTCAGAATATAAATATGTTTTGAACTATTTATTTTAGTTTGCTTCACAGAAAAGTTCTTCAAATATGGTAGAGATAAATCAAAATATCACAAAAACCATCAAAATAGAAATTAATTTTCTCAAACAAGTAATTGTGTGTAAAATCAATGAGATAATGAACACTAATTTTACATTACAAAATTAATTTGCTTCATTATTCTCTAATATCTGTATTGGTGGTAGTGCTCACATTAGCAGCGAAGTCAGACAAGATCCAAGAAACTAGTTTAGTATTAAACTGCCTCACTGTAAATTCTGTTAAGAGGAGAAACTGAAAACTGTTGCTAAGGGATAAAACCTTCACTGTTGACCATTTTAGACTTAAGACTTGCATGTCATTCCAAATCCAAAATTCTTCAGACACCCATTTTCCATAAGAAGTCTTTTTGATAAGTACTCTTTCCTGCAAATTAGATAAAACATCCATTTTCTTCTCTGAAGGCAATGGGTGGGATGAAGAGTTCAGAAAACATATTAGAAAAGGTTTTTGGTTCTTGCCATTTCCCTCCTCCCCAAAGGAAAGAAAATGTCTGCTTCTATTCCTCTGGCTATGGTGGGAATGCTCCTGAATTATGTTATTTCTCCAGTGCAAGAGGCAAAGGATTAACCAATTTTGAAAATAAAGCAGCATCTACTTCCCTGATTAGAAAAGCCAAAATCACTGATATTAGGCAAAACAGAGGGAAAAAAAAAAGAAAAGAAGGCTGTAGTTTGCTGGTACTTCAAAATTGCATAAAATTAGCACTAGCACCAAAATATGTGGTTCCATCCTCTCCACACTGCTCATTCCTGCCACCTTTGTGCTGGCACAGTATTTGTATAACCACAAGGTGAAATCACAGAATCACAGAATGGATTGGGAAAATTACTCTCCCCACAAAAAGATTATCTTTCTGCCAGATTAGTTTCCAATCTAGTTTATCATATGGCCTGAGAAAATATTTGTGAGAGAAAATGGAAGGGACAGTGCAAGAAGTGGACAAGGCTAGGTGAACTACTTCTTTCAGTAGCAGTACTGGCTTATACTAGCTTTAAAATATTCATCAGCCTAAAGGAAGGTTCTGATGCCAGTTGCGTATGACCCAAAAGGAACAGGTAAACATTTTATAGTGATACAATCAGAGGTGGCTCTTACCTTAGGGACAGTGTGGTCCACCCTCACCAGAACTTTACAGCTCTCAGTAAAATCTTATTTCTCTCCTGTGCTAAGTGTGGATGGCATGCATGCTAGCACCAAACCTAGCACCACAACACATTGGAACAGAAGTACACACTGAAACAGGATCGATATTGCACCTGTACAGTAGCCCTCAGTGGGGATCCCAACCAGCTAATAAGCATTAGAGACACCACTGGATACAATAAAATATTTCCTGAAGTCTGTAGTCTATATCCATGAGTGGGATGGATTGGTTCATGTTCCACAGCAGTAGACTTTAGAAAATATTTGACTTCTAATTATTTCACTTGGGAGTTTAACATGTGAGACATAAGTTAAACCTAATTACAGTAGGTTCCCCTTTAAAAAGAATAAGTACTACTTTTACAATAGGAATTAAGTTGCATTTTCAAATCAGTATACTTCAATTTTCATTATACTTAGCAGTATTTCAAATATTAGAATTAAAATGCACTCGCTATATTTATTCCTAGTGAACATGACAATTACCAATCCAAAAATCATTTTTATGCCCAAACCATACATATTATTCTGATTTATTTCAACTACAATTCTGAAAGCAGCATACCTGAACTCTGAATTTCCAGGTTGTTCCAACAGGGACACCAGGTATAGGACCATAGTGATTAGAAGGAACAATAGTGCATTCCTTAGTACGACCAACACAAGCCATGCCCTAAAAACATACCAGATCATGAATTTTATCATATCTAAAATAATTTGTAAAAGCTGATGCAGATACCAAGAAAACCAATTATAACAAACACATATTTCAAAAATATATTAACATAAAAATTGTCAACAGTAGTTTTAATTAAGTAATGTGTGTTTAATTTTCATTTATTTATTTACCTCTAGTCACCTTAATAATTCTTCAGATGTTTTAACTTTCAGTAGACAGTGGGCAGGATTCAACATTGCTTTATAGTCTGTGCAATCTGGTACTGAATTTTGTGTAGTGCATATATAAATGCAATTATAGATGTAACACATACATAAATGGTGAGCTATTTTTAAAAGGCACTCTACCTTGCCCCAGTCTCTCTGGCTTTCAGTACTGGCAGATGGCATCTTTGCTTTCTTTTTACTCTGTTTGAGCTTTTCTCCAGCCTTTACGACTTCATTAGAATCATTTTTGCAGGAAGGACAATACCTAAAAAAAAAAAGCTTCAGTAAATCTTCAGTAAATTCTTAATTACTTAGCAATAATGGCAATACATTTCTTCTAGGCAAAATAGTGTTAAATTTGTTCATCCTGACTGAATATTTTGAAGTTAGCAAATATACACCACTTTTAAACAGCTGAGGACTCAGGTTGAAAAAACAAACCCAACAAGAACAAATATTGTCCACTTCTAAAACAAGACATTCCATTATTTTGAGTGAGTGATAGATACAAAACATTTCACTCTTCTTTTCTCATGTGATGTACGATAGGTCCCCATGTTTCCTATATTCCCTCATTTTCTCTTCCTATCCTTGCTTGTTCAGATCACAGGGGAGAGAACTGAGATGAGAATATACTGTTGACTAATGCTCATGGTTAATTTCCACATCCTGCCCACTCTTATCATCTGCTTTTACTGCACCAAATCTCACTTCAGACAATTGGATGTGGAATAGAGCTAGGATACCATGGAAATTGCATACATCCTTATCCTACCCCACCATGCCTAAGGCATCTGGAATGAGACTCAGTACAGAACAAATGGGAAGAGAATTAAACACCATTTCTATATATTCCCTTGCATCATATGGCATTGGGACCCATTGTAGCCACCATAAAACCATTATGGTAGAAAAAGGATAGGAGATTGTGGGAAGCAGCGGCTAAGGCAAAGGGAGGAAGGGAGCACACAGATCCTTGTATTGCTTCTAACAGCACTTTTTTCCCCACTGCAGGAGTGCCAAGGCAACGGCAACTGCCATTCCTTCTGGCTTCCAAGGGCTGAGTTTGGCCCAAAAGCCACTAGTGGAAGAAGATCACCTCGAGGGAGGTAATCTTCCCCCTCTACTCAGCCCTGGGGAGGCCTCACCTGGAGTCCTGTGTCCAGTTCTGGGCTCCCCAGTACAAGAGAGACATGGCACTACTGGAGAGAGTCCAGCGGAGGGCTACAAAGATGATGAGGGGACTGGAGCATCTCTCCTCTGAAGAAAGGCTGAGAGAGCTGGGGCTGTTCAGCCTGGAGAAGAGAAGACTGAGAGGGGATCTCATCAATGTGTACAAGTATCTGAAGGGGGGGGGGTCTCAAGAGGATGAGGCCAGTCTCTTCTCCATGGTGCAAAGTGACAGGACAAGAGGCAACGGGCACAAACTGAAACACAGAAAGTTCCATCTGAACCTGAGGAAAAACTTCTTTCCTGTGAGGGTGCCTGAGCCCTGGAACAGGCTGCCCAGAGAGGTTGTGGAGTCTCCTTCCCTGGAGATATTCAAAACCCGTCTGGATGCGATCCTGGGAAATATGCTCTAGAGGACCCTGCTTGAGCAGGGAGGTTGGACTAGATGATTTCCAGAGGTCCCTTCCAACCTCAACCATTCTGTGATTCTGTGAAGTCTGATCTATAACAATATTGATAATATATTTAGATTACTACTACTACTAACACTTTACATTTATTATATATCTTTAATCTTTGAGTATGAGCAGAAGAGCTAGCTACCATATAGGGCAACAAGTCACCGTGTATCAGGTATTTCATAATAATTGCCTGTATACAAGCTCTCAACCCTCCAAGAAGATGGGAGCCACCTCAAATCATGTTTTTATTTGCAACCTAGAGAGATCATTCATATGGATACTTATTGGAAAACACAGTCACAAGTCACAATTCAGTTTAACACTTGGGATCTTGGTACTCTTAAAGTACCTTTCTATACCAAAACCAAAAAATAATGTAAAAATATTCTAAAAATTGAAAAAAATAGACTGATACAACCATTTCCAGATCATACTTGTTCAATTTAAAGGTAAAGAAGAAATTTTCCATAATTTTCAGCTAGGGAAACTCCACTTGGACATTGACTTTCAAGCTATGTTCTCCCCTGTTCATACATCATCATCCTTAATAAAGACTCAATAAATCAGTTTCAAGTCCTATGATCACTCTTTCTTAGAATCAGAGTAATTTAGGTTGGAGGGGACCTCTGAAGATCATCTGGTCCAACCCCTGACTCAAAGCAGGGCCAACTAGAGCAGGTTGCTCAGGGCCTTGTCCAGTTGAGGTTTGATTATCTCCAAGGATGGAGATCCCACAACCTCTCTGGGCCCCTGTTCCAGTGTTTGACCACCCTCAGGATGAAAATTTTTTTCCTTATATCTAATTGAAATTTCCTGTGTTCCAAATTGCATCCGTTGCCTCTCATCCTATCCCTGTGCACCTCTGAGAAGAGTCTGGCTCCGTCTTCTCTGTAACATGTCACAATGTAAGCTCATAAGAGGGTAAATTTAACTCTGGCATTTCCCGCTTTACGATTGCTTAACCACATTCTCTTATTATTTTTCTTAACTGAATTTTGTATGAGATATTAAATATTGTTTAACATATAGAGTGATTTTCATTTGTATGTGAGAAACTGCAGGCTGCGCCCCTAGGAGGAGGTTGCCACATTGCACACTATTAAAGTTTTAAATGAAAAAAATTCAATTTTTAAAACAAACAACAACTCTGGTAAGAAACTACGGACCAGACTGTGCCATGACCCTTAGCTAGTATGCAAGGAGAATAGAGAACAAAGAACTGCTCTTCTGTTGCACTCCTATAAAGATGACTGCATTGCATTGAATAATTGTAGTCCTTTTATAGACAGGCATGCATTAAGACCAGCAAGCATTAAGACTGCATAGGGCTAGCATCACTAAATATCCCCAAATTAACTGTCAGGAGACAGGCCCTTAACCATACCGCTCCCACCCACTGATGGTTCATGCACAGAACCATCTATCTACTTACATGATAAATCTTAAAGCTCATACAGCAAACAAAACCAAGTTAAATAGCTTGACAACTGCTCTTCAAGATGTTTTAATCATATGGACTTAGCTTCTATCATGTGTGGAAATTCATAATCTTTTGGCCAAGAATGCAAGTGGAAGGGCCAAAATGTTTTGTAGATGCACTTAACCCCAACTTGAGGGCTTGTAAAGTCCCAACTGTCAGTCAGTTCACTTCTTATCTGGGCCTCTACTAAGTCTTCTGTATGAAGGAAAACATTCCCAGGGATCTACGCAAAGCAGTTTCGGTCATGTTATTGGAAGTGCCTAAGGAGACCTAACTGAAGAGTGATTGTAATACTTTGACAAACTTTGTATTCTTTGACCTTTTTCTGTTTGAGAGCTAAAAAAGTAGGATAACTCACAGGAGTGCCTCATAAGAAGTGCTCCTGAAACAGAAAGGGTATCAGTACAGACAAGAATTGTTTTACATAATCTTGAAAATCATTTGCAGCACCCAACAGGCCAAGATAATCCTAGTGCAAACTAGAGACACCAGTAAGATTACAGTATCAGCATTCCTGTCTAACCTAAAAAACCTGCTCTATGTTTGATGATACAGAATAAATCAGAATAAAGTTTTCTTCTAAGGAGAGCAAAGGGTGTTTTGAGGGTTGTTGAGTTTTTTTAAATTAAACTTGGAGCACGTATATTTTCTTTGTTGTAATCGTTGTTGTGATTAATATTGGAACATAAAACTACTTTTTGTTGCTGGAGAGTACTGGTATAGAGTCTTTTGGGAGTAAGGGGACCTGAAGAAGAATGGATGCACTAAAAAGATCTGTACTTTCAGAGAACAAATCCTAAATAATATTTTGGCCCCCTTAATATTCAGGATGACTAAAGTCAAAAAACATCTCAGTTGTTATGCCCAAAAGTCCAGTGCAGTCACAAAAGAACACTGTTTAAGGACTGTGATCAATTCTTAAAGCACTATAGCATTGAGAATGCTTTCTAACACATGATTTGGAAGCACTAAGATCTTCAGCTCACTTCCACAGGCAATTAGTAGGAAGTGAGTGGATGTTGGGGCAGATCAGCCTTCTGTGCACAACAGTAGAAAACCTGGGGATAGTTGGGATTCACATGCTGCCCAACAAACACTACTGAATAAAGATTATATATACCTGTGCACACAATCATTTTGCATATACAAGAAATGGGAAGCACACAGACAATAAGTGCTATATTTAGTTCCAACAACTCATAAATATTTGCAATATATACTGAAAATATTTTCTAGATAGTGTTCAAAGTCAGCAGTTTCTCCAAGCAGAGCAAATATGAGTAAAACTCTTTTCAGTTCAGGAAGTTGAAAAGGAAATGGCCATACAGAAGTATCTCAGTGGGTACATGTACCCAATGCAAAAATCTCCACCAAATGTTAATAGTCTCAATCTAAGCTACATGTATGTATAAATATAGCTGGAGTCTGGAGAAATTGCAATATATTAGCCCAGGAAAAATGGTATAGCATTAGGCACTGAACTATAAACAAACTTACTCAATGAGGCAGCTGCTGTATTATAGTAAACTAGAGTTATTTATTTCCAGAGAATGTTAAAACTTCTAAAGTACTTAAAATATTTTATTAGAAGTGTGTAGTTCCACTAAAATCTACAGTTCAAAGCATTTCTATAAAACATGCCCATAGACATATACTGATATCTTCATAATGGAAAACTTTCTATTTATAAGTCACTTATAAGATTAACATCCAATATATGTTAAAAGCAGGTTATAAATACAAAGGCTATGAGTTGTAAATAACTGATACAGGTGATACGTGGCATGGAGCTCAAGATGATAAGCTTCAACAGGCTGATGCTGGCTCCATGCAGAGTCAGCTCAGAATGCGGTTAGCTGAGTCCAGCAAGGCTTATTAGCTTGGCTTTCTTGCTGGCAGTGCCAGAATTACTGGAAATGGGTAGGAGTAAGGTGGTGGTCTTCTCACAGCAGGAAACATGAATGGAGGCAGCTACAGGATAAAGGAAGGGCAAGGAGGCAGCAACAAGGACTCAGATTGAGGGGGAAGAAAAGGATTAAAGGAGAAGAAGCAATGAAGCCCAAATAAAACAAACAAAAGGTTGGGGAATCACCACTGTAGGTAAAGTCTAATCACATCAGTTAATGTCACAGAGGGTCACTGAACAAGATAATTTCTGAAATTCTATAATGATCAATAATGCTTATTACTAATAGTTTATGACTGATATTTATAAATAGAATATTAACATAAAATATAAATATGTTTACATACAGCGCAAGGATGAAAAACATACCAGAAATATAAAAGCTCTTCAGTAATTCCTCTAGTTGCAAATAACAAAGAGGTACCTTGTGTAGAATGGGAATATATATAAGTAAATCATCCTTGTATATTTACCAATCCTCATCTTCTGGTATCTTGCTTAAGGGAGGGTTCAGGCAGTATATATGATAAGCCATATTACATTCATCACAAAGGAGTTGCATGTGAGCATCCTGTTTTCCACCACACAAATAACAGGAGCAAAAGCAAAATTCCTTATCTGGGTCAGCCCTGCAGTGCTTGCATTCAGGGCCATTCTTTCCTATCAAAAAAGATAAAAATCCACATGTCTTAGAAAACTGATTTCAGTTTTATAATTACAACATAATGGCAGAAGAACATATATGTGTGTCCACATGAACATGTCATGGATACAGTAATTTTGCTATTACCATGAAGCCTAGGTTTAAAAAGATCAAGCTAACAGGAACAGTTTATACCTATTTAACACTTATGTATTACTACATGACTAAGGAGCAACTGACAATATCATTTTGTGTCCTTCAGCCCAACATTTATGAAAGGGTCATTGTCATTTTCCTGCTTAGGTAGCAACCTAGCCTGTTGCTCTGCTACCCTGGCTATCATGGGGGGGGTGATGATTTAAAAAAGAAAAAAAAGGAGTTCAACTCACTGAAAAAGTGGCAACATAATTCACTGCACTGAGTCCTTTATAACTGCCCAATTTTATAGGCACTTATAATATTTATTATTATATTTAGTCTTAAAAGACTAAAGTAGTATCTATTAATGTGAGTGAATATACTTAATTTGATGGATTAGGTCATGAGAGAAGAGATAATTCTGCAGGTTGTCTTGGCAGGACTAGATCCAAAAGCTGTCTGTAGAAGGACTTAACAAAACTGTGAACTTACAATCCTTTTTGGTGTTGCAATAGGAAAAAAAAGGCACAGGGTTGACAAATAAAGAATAACTCAGCTTTAGTCTAGTTTGGTCAATTCAAAATCACTTTTATTTACATCTGAAAAAATAGGCAAGTTTCATCTTTAATCTTCATAATAAATCATTTTTTTCTCTTCAAACAGGCAAAAGAAAGAATACGTTTAATCATGTTTGTTTACTGAAATTTGGTTTTATGCATTACTACATCAATAGGACTCAATTCTTTGCACATATGAGCACTATCTCTACTTGAAAATGGTGCTTTTATAATGAGGTATTTGACTACCTGGACTAGTGGAATTTCTTCTGCCACATGTACAAGCAGCAATGAAAGTGACCAATCAGCAGCTTCTTTGATTTCCCACCACCACTACCCCACCTGCATACTCTTTCTACAGATCAGCTCTTGGCACATTCTTCAGCTGGAGTCTTCTTAAATATAGATATGAAAAAATTCCAATTGGATAGCTGTTAAGACCTATGAAGAACAAATTATAAATCAGAAAAATTCCCTCCCTCTCCAAATTTAATATCCAGGTGGATAAAAGAATTAATAATCAAGGACCACAGATGATCCCAGATCATCAGTTTTCATAGAGTTGCTTTGTACAGAAATTGAATTAATACTACCCTTCTGTTTCTGCTCACTTGGGAATTTGGACCAATGACTCCTCCATATAATAACAGCATAGGTATTGGTTCCTCAGCTAAGAAAAGAAAAGCTTTTAAAGAAAAAGGAGAACATTCAATAGCCTAACATTAGATACGAATGAGAGAGAAGCTACATTGAATTCATGTAGCAGAATTAACTATTACAGAGAATGTGTCTGAAACAAGTGGAAGTTTAGAAGTGAGAGAAGACTTAAGAGTACTTGACCACAGCTCAAAGTACTATAACATTAAAGGAAAACAGTTTTGGCATATTTCTGTGTGAAAACCATCAAGAAAGACTATGGAAGTGAATCTGACAACCTAAACTATGATGATGTGATACAGAATATGATAATAACTAAGTAATATGATGACTAGAGTACTTCTAGACTGCTAAAGAAACATTTTTTCTTTCTTCAGTGAAGAAATGGGCCTTGAATCAGAGGACAAGGAGGAACTGGAACAACTGTTTGAGAGTTTGAGGTTGGAAGCAGGAAGCTGGAGAACCAAGACACCTTTGCTAATAATGGAGAAATGAGTAGTACAAGTCTTAAAGTTTAAATTAACTTCTCTTTTTCCCATATCCCATTTTCTTCAATCATCCTATGAAATTTACAACTTGATCTCCTGGTTCTCTGGACCTACTGCAATACTTAATTATCACTTGGATAAACAGAACTGTTTTCTGAAGCTGCCAAGTAGCTGTAGATTGTCAGAAATGCTATAAATTAAGAATAGCCTTTTCTTCCTTTTGAAGGAAGAAGTGATATATCTTGAGGCCTACCAGATAACATTTGGCTCCTGTTACTACTACTACTTTAGGAGAAAAGTAAAAGGATACAATAAAAAGTTTAAGACAGACAAGAAAAAATAAATGTATAGACATTTTATTATTCATAACAATAAATTTGCAAGAGTTTCCTCATGTCCTCTAACAGAGGAATCTCAATGCAAACTCAATGAAAGGAAGGGGAAGGACTGGGCAAGAAAACATCCTTTGAGGTCTGTACCAGAAAAAAAAGACATTCATAAGTTCTATTAGTTCAGAAACAGAGCTAGCTGGAATACCAACACTTGGAATATAATTTGAATAAGGGTTTATAAGAAAATCTAACTAAGAAGTTTCTGATATATGGAGAAGGAAAGGTATGACATAAGGATTTGGGGAAACTCCAATCCTTTCCTTCTAGGGAAAATGTGTCCTCTCTGACTGGACAGACCCTTGACAGAAAATTTATTCCACATGGGTAAGATTTCAGAGTAAAACCTCTTTAGACAGAAACTCCTGCCTGAAAGACATATAAGAAAAGGAAACTAGAATGCTGAGTATTGTGCTGCACCTACAATCCATCTAGAGGATCTCAGGTAATACTGTCTCAACAAGTGGAAGAGATGCTATAAAACCGAAGTCTACATTTTTCAGAGAAAAACACAAAAAATAGACCTCAAAAAAGAATTGCTGAAGATGCAAAATTACCAGCTAGGGATGGAAGGTCTAAGTGAAATGTGCTGACCTGAAAATCTTAGGCACAAAGGGATAAAGCCACTAACACCAGCTGTCTAAGTCTCAAGTGTCAAAGGTCACTCACCTGAAGTGAAAAAAAGGAAGTCAGACTCTCTCGGTATATTGCGTCTAGAAAAAGCTAGCCTAAGAGATTTTTCTACATACTATGAGAGTGGAAGTAACCTTCTAAGTCTGAGACTCTCTCTCAGGTTTCATTTGGAAAAAAGAGACATTTTAAGACTACTGTTGAAAGAATTTGTGCATGGATCTACCTAATAATTTCTACAAGGCTGGACAGTACTCAGTGAACAATCCAAGGTGTCTACATCAATCTAAGTCAAGTCAGACAAAAGAAATAACAAGTAGCTGGTCTAGCTAATGAAAAAATCTTGAAACTGATGACTGAGCACTCCTAAAGAAAATCATTAGTCTATCTAGTCAGATGAACAGTAAACAAAAAGCATAGACTTTGCATATTTTTTGTATATCTGTACCTTCATAGATTGTCTAGGACTACAGAGAGTAAACCACATAGGCCATTACAATACCAGACTTATGTCAAGGATTACTACTAAAAACTTTTTTTAGTCAGATAAGCACAAATACCAATATATATTGTGTATGTGTGTGCGTGCACGCGGGTGCACTTAAATAAACAGTATCTGAAGTTTGACTTTCTTTTCTATATACAAACCTCTATAAAGCTGTCTTGCTGATAATGTGACTTGTATTTTTCCCCATTTCTGTTTTAAACTGGTTTAATAAATCAAATGGCATTGATTATATTTGCACCATTGCTCAAATGGAAACCAGCCTGTTCACCCCACCACCACTGTAAAATTTAGTTTCATAGATTCTTTCATATTCCCTTCCTTTGTAGGAAAGGACTATTATCTAATGTTTGTAGTACAAATTTTAATTCTGATAGAAGTTAAAGTAACATATGTTGATGACTAGTTCTTTCTGTTTTGCATAAAAAGTTCTAAAACATTTTTGAGAGCTCTTAATTTTCCATGGTTGTACCCCTACCATTTGGGGGGGGCTGCAGTATTTAGATTTCAATTAATTCAAAATAACTAATAATTAATCTTATTCTTAAATGTAATAGCTACACAAAAAATGTGCATGATTTGTCAATATTTATCTATTTTATCACAATTTTAGCAAATTTAAGAAGTATTCATTTCCTGGCAGAACTAGCCTATACTGTCTATCTATCTGGTGAAGAATATTTCCAAAGTAGTTAACTTTTGGAAAGGACACAGAGAGTGGCTTGGTCTAGACAAAAATATATTCAGCACATTCTCTTCATAACAAACTCATGGAGCATTTCAGGCCAATTAATTCTCTTTGAATTCTACCTACTGTTATTAAAAAAACAGTCTACTGCTTTTCTTAGCATACAAATAAGTTGTTAGCTGTATGTATTTAGATGGCAAATTTTTAAATGTAGAGTAGGACTAGGGAGGTAAGTACAGAGAAGCAATAAAGAAATCAGTTGAGCCATAAGCAGTAAGAAAACTGTAGTGCATTGTGCTTCACAGAACAAATTCAGGACAGCTTACAAAAAAAAGATCAGAATAACAGCAGGAGAAAATGAACTGAACAGTGCAGTGAGGATGTTGGACTTGGGGGGAAAAAAGAGTAGATGAAGACAAAGGAATAAAGTTACACAGCCAGAAGTAAATCAACAATTAAATCTTTGAGGTTAAAATTTAAGTTAATATTTTTGTGCTACAATTAATTACACTTAATACATTTAGTAAAAACTAATCTTAAGAGAAATAAAAAGGGGATCAGGAACAGCATAAAAACCCATACAGATGCAGATTTATACAAAGATAGCAATTACGTGAGAGGTCTGAGAACAGGTTACAAATATGGAGACAATTAAAGAAATAAGATGTGATAGTAGGAACTGTAAGTAAAAATGAAGAGCTTTATTCTTATACAGTAAAACAGGAAACCAGTGCAGGAAAATATAGAATGCAAAATAAATAAGGCCCGAAGCCAAATTTGAAGTTCACAGTAGACTCAATTTTACATGATCTAAAGTCAGTGATAAATTAATCATTAATTTACATTAAACAGACTTTTTAAACTTAATTCCACTGCAATGTAGGTGTGTGCACGTGTGTGTGTAATTAAATGAAATGTAACAATTTTATATACCCTCTAAAAGCAGTTCTATAAACTAGAAATATCCTCACAAAATATGTAATTAGGTACATAAATGCAAAGCAGATATAACTTGGCTTTACACTATCTCTAAATTTTAAAATTCCTCAAACTCTCAGTTTATAACAAAAATATTATTAAAATGTGGAGAATAACCCCTAAAGTGATCAAGAGAACATAAATGGAATGGATGGTTAGTTTTCATTGACAAATCTGAGAAAAATAAACCATAAATAATGAAAAAAACAATTGCTTAAAATTGAAATTTACATTTCTACTTTTATGAATACAGCTGCAAATGGAATTTGCTTTTTTAAAAAACACTGATTTTTAATATGACCTCATTCCTTTAATAGTACACTGCAAATAAACAGTAAGGTTAGTTCCTCTGCATTAATGACACCTATATGCAATGACTCAGATATTAGCCTTAGATTATCAATGGAACCTAAATTGTGATAAATCTGCTTCTTTTTAAATTCAGTAATATCTATCAATAATGCCACAGATCAACCTCTCAATGCTCCAAATATAAACACCACATTATCACTCCTATTTTTTAACTTCCATATATTTTAAAATTTAGGATAAAATGTTAAAACTGCTTTTTAGAGAACTCTTTTTTAAGGGGAGACAGCCGTACATGACATATTTAGTGTTCTGAAGGACATAAGTGGTCAAGTAATAATCCAGAGATTAAATATCTGTTTTTTCATAGTTCTAACAGTCTTGAAACAAACTTTGTTGCTCTACACAGCTAATGCTTTTTCATTCTTAGATAACGTCAGGGTTAAAGGATAGCAGTATTGACTCTTTCAGTCTTTGGCATTTTTAAAGAATTCAAATGAGATGTCAGTTATGAAAGCAGCTTTTGTGATTTGGATACCTGCTTCGGAACTTATCTCAGACTATCCAGACTTACCTTCATGAGAGTTTATACTGATAGCACTAATGTGTTGCTATATTACATCAAAAATGTATTTCTGAATATTCCATGTAATAAAGTTACATTATAGCAAAAACTTTTCAAACAAAAAATCTGTCTAATAATGAAGCTTTTATTAAGTACAAAACAATCTTTAATTAAATTAAGTCTGCACTCTAATCCCTTAATTTTGTAATGCCATTCAAATATTTAACTAACAGACTGAAATATATAATAAAAAAGCATACTTTTGAAATCTCCATCTCCAAATGTTAGTGGATAAGCTCCTGGTTTTTCAATCTTGTACATTTCCTCTATAAAAAGGATTTTGCAATCATTTATTGCATCTTCTGGGCCTCTGAAAAATAAAAATATTAATAAAGTACGTTGAACACTGTTTCTCAGTCTTAGCTTCTCAGTTTTAGCTTCTATAATTGACAAACCCTAAGCAAAGGAATATATTTAACTGGCATCTCTTTTACCACTGATAAAATAGTTTTTATTGAATTCACAAACAAAATTCAGTGCAGTGCTATAATTTGCAACAAAACTAAAACACAGTGTACAGTCTAGTTAGTGGCATAGACGAGGAACATCCCAAGACAATGCTTCTTTGTCCAACTTGATTCCTATAAGAATATTTCTAATATAATACACATCACAGCAGTGATTTTATCTTAAACTGACACACAGTTATGCCTTATTTTCCTTCTAAATAACAGGAAACTTTGAACTGAAAGTATATATGTATACATGCATATTTGTATATGCATGTGTGTGTGTATAATGCAAAATATAGATACATAAATATATCTTAAACTTTAGGCAGACCTATATGGAAAAGTCAAAATAGATACAAAGTCAATAAATTGTTGGCTATTAGTAAGCATCTATTTAAATTCTGAGGCATACTGTATTAAATAATTTAAAATTTCATTGAAAAATAAACTATACTGACAATTTCAGCATTAATCAGACATTGCAGCTACAAATGAGATTTTCCCTATATATATTTTCAAATTCCATTATGCTACAGTCAAATTTCAGCACATTTGCATAGCACATTTTTCTCCCAATTTTTACATTTTGCCAGCCTTCTATATTTGTAGGTTTTTAAAAGCCAACTGGAAGAAGTGACAACCTCAGTTCAAAAAGTAAGATGAAGAAAAGAACCAGCTCCCTCTGTAATAAAAATCATAAAATAGGGATCCTATCAAGAGTTAAAAGACTTCTAGAAAAGAAAGAATAACAAGTGAAGAATCCCTAAAGCACAGAAACCTGGGTATGTTTAAGCTTTGTGCAATAAATAAATATACATATATTTATATATATTTAAAAAGATGTTATAAAAGCAAGAAGAAGAGGAAAGAAGGATGTGATCTGAAGGTATCCCCTACAAAAAAGGGACAAAGAATTTTTCCCATATGGAATTACCTCCAGAACATGCCATATCAAACCAAAAGTAAATGAGAAATGCTGCTGACAAGACACAAAAAAAATGTTTTTAGCCTCAAAAATTAGTGGTGCATGGATACTCATGGTATGAATATACATGTGAGCTAGTAATTTAAGAGAATGCTTGCTCGATATCTAGGGACATTACTGCTCGTGACAGCATGAATGGCATCTAGCCAAGCATTCCTGAAAGCCAGAAAATACAGAGAGCCGGGAGTCTTAATTAACATGGGCTAGTTGAGAAGAGTTTTCATTCTTTATATTGTCTAATTCTCTTTAGAAAAGTGACATCAAATGCTCACGCTGGCCAATTGTACTCATGCATAATATTAATGCCCCATCCATGTGCCTATCCAGTGCATAATAGCAATATTAATTTCCTAGTGCTTATGTGTATGTTTTGAGTGATGGCTGTATTATTTTTAAATAAATCTAAACAAATGTAGTCTTTTGAAACAGTAACCAGGTAACAGAGTAATATAAAATAGCACATACATTTATTTAAACACCAGTCCTTTTCCTAATTCTTTGTTATTTCTACACTTCTCTTCCTACTACTTTGCTGCCCACCATGTACCCTTTTTTGTACTGAAGTCTGTTTTCTTCTGTACTTTTTCTTCCTTTTGCATTTTTTTTTCTGAGTGGGGGCATCAAACTAAAGTTCAAAATGCTCCTAGAAATCACCTCCAGAGAAGCAGACTGGAAAACACTGAGTGTTTCAACCTGTGTGTGTGTTTATTAGAGAAAGGACAGTATCACAAACACACCAGGGGAAAAAAAAATGCAAAGAACTCAAGACTCAAATCAACCTATTTTTCACTTCATAGAGACATTTTTATCTTATGGACAATAAGCATGAAAACTAAAATCAAAACATTTGAGGCTTTTAATATTTACTACTTCTGTTTGACTGGGTTTCCTTTTCCTTCAAAGCAACTAACAAGTTTTAATGAATAGTAACTAAATAATTGAAAAGGTAGTGAACTTAATCCACAGAGAACCAATTTTCTCTTCCAATTTGCATGTACTACTCTCACCCACTGACTTTGACATGTGTTAGCACATACTTGTGAAGTCCTGAATTAGAAAGAAAAAAAAAGAATTAAGCTATTCTTGATTCAAATTCTATATGAAGTGAGTAAACAGTATTTCATGAACTGGAATGAAAACACTTCAGAAGAACCAGATTATTTAGGTGAGAGCCCATGCCCCAGAAACATGCAGTTACAGAATAAACTCAAGATATTCAGTTTGCAAATCCTATTATACAACATGCATGATTCAGTGACACAGACACTGAACGAGCTTGAAAATATTTTCAACAAGCTTTACAGACAGATTTTTTTAAAGGTCAATTTTTGCTACTCTATTTGCCAATTTAGATTTAAGAAATTCAATACTATTTAGTCTGAACCTTAAAACACTTACCTGACTTGTCTATTATTCAATAGCAAAATTTCAAGTTTTCTAATCTAAAAATTGACTGTAGGCAGGGGTGGCTCTTACGCTGTGGACAAGAGGGGGTAGTCTGTCCCTACCAGAACTTTACCAAGGGTTACCTCAGTAAAATCTTTCTGTGTCGCTTTCCTCTTGCACAGAGCAGTGGCACACATGACAGCACTAAGTCAGGCACCACAGCACACCAGCACAGGAAGTACACTGTGCCTGCACAGGAGCCCTCAATGGAGAGGGCATTAAAAGCATTAGAGCCACCACTGACCATAAATATATGCAGGTTCACTGCTCACTTCTTAAATGTCTAAACAGTAACAAAACTTTTCTTTCCTCTAAATACTAGGCGCTTTTTATGAATAGCTTAAGAAACCATAGTAACATTTAAAAGTATACAGCACAGAAGCCACTAAGGCTTCTGAACTGTGTTGCACTGCTCACCAAGATATTTATACATACAATAAGCTATGTGTGTGTCTGTGCAAAAAGTCTGCAGACAGGATTTTTGACAAGTGAACTTTAAGAGAGCCGGTCAAGAATGTTTCAGCAGATTATTGGAATAAATGCCCCTATAGTATGAAAGCTATTCTGAGAAATGACCCAAAAGTAAGTCTTGTTAACATTGTGCATCTCACCAAAAACATGTTTTCAAAGCTCAAGCAGCAAGTACCAAAGGCGTTACATGAAAAAAAAAAAGAGATTATCTTGGATACAGAAAGAAAAGGATTTGGAAAGCAGCTCTGCAGAGAAGGACCTGGGAGTCCTGGTGGACAACAAGTTAAGCATGAGCCAGCAATGTGCCCTTGTGGCCAAGAAGGCCAAGGGTATCCTGGGGCTGCATTAGGCAGAGTGTTGCCAGCAGGTGGAGGGAGGTGATCCTGCCCCTCTACTCAGCCCTGGGGAGGCCACATCTGGAGTACTGTGTCCAGTTCTGGGCTCCCCAGTACAAGAGAGACACGGCTGTACTGGAGAGAGTCCAGCGGAGGGCTACAAAGATGATGAGGGGACTGGAGCATCTCTCCTATGAGGAAAGGCTGAGAGAGCCGGGCCTGTTCAGCCTGGAGAAGAAAAGACCGAGAAGGGATCTCATCAATGTGTAAAGTATCTGAAGGGAGGGTGTCCAAGAGGATGGGGCCAGACTCTTCTCCGTGGTGCCCAGCGACAGGACAAGAGGCAATGGGCATAAACGGAAACACAGGAAGTTCCATCTGAACATGAGGAAAAACTTCTTTCCTGTGAGGGTGACTGAGCCCTGGAACAGGCTGCCCAGAGAGGTTGTGGAGTCTCCTTCCCTGGAGATATTCAAAACCCGCCTGGACGCAATCCTGGGCAACATGCTCTAGGTGACCCTGCTTGAGCAGGGGGGTTGGACTAGATGATCTCCAGAGGTCCCTTCCAACCTCAGCCATTCTGTGATTCTGTGATACCATATGAATGTAAAACCATCAGTAAGAGAATCTATAGAAACTGAAATTCCAGGCCTAAATAGAAAATATATAGTATTAGGACTGCATTACTGTGCACCCAAACAACATGGTAACAGCAACTATGAGATGTTGAAGGCCATCAGACATACTGAGAAGGAAGGAAACATAACAGTACTAGATCAGGTAATAGACCCAATGTCAAGATTAAATGTTTAGACACTGCCTATGACAGTTCTTTGGAGCAGCTAGTCAGTAATCCACAAAAGCTGAAGAACTCTTGACTTGGTCCTGAGTGACTTGGCCCACTATGCAATACCTGGTTCATTGCGTTAGTTCATTGCTCTGTAATGATATACTTGAATTCAGTATCTTTACAGGAGCAAGAAAAGCCAAAGTTACGTCCAATTTCAAAAAGGAAAATTAAATAGAAATGCAAAAGTTTGCTCAAAAAAGCAATTAATAGCAAAGTCTGTACAGGCAGCATGAAGACTACTTAGACAACATACTGGACACTGAGAACAAATGTATACCGCCTACCAAAGTCTCAAGAGTGAGTAAAAGGAATCCAAGCAAGGCTAAACAACAGAGAAATGGAAATTACAAGAAGCAATAAAGTATCCTACAAAAAGCAGAAATTGTTTCTAAATGAGGACAACAGAAAGGCTCAAAATCCATCAGGTTAAATGTAAAAACACAATATAAACGCAGCAAACTACAAAATGAAAAAATGCTTGGCAAAGCACTGATTAGGAGCAGAAAGCCCAACACAGAATCTGTAGAACTAACTATAGATTAAGGTATAAAACTATGACACATTTTAAGATCCTTCTCACTACCTTCCATTATTGCTACTCTAATGAAGCCCTCAAATTCATAAAATATTTGATTGGTGAAAGAGGTATAATGAATATACAGTGAACTGATTTTACTGTTAGCCTTGAATTAATCCAAAGATTTAAAATAAGACAACTTATGATATTGAGAGAGGCCCTTGCTAAATTCAAACCTTCAAATGCCCTTAATATATTAACTGACTGAAGAAAAAGTGAGAGTTGATTTTCATCAACCTTGAAGTCTAGCACACAAAAAAAGACAAAGCACCATTTGATTTGAACTTCTTTGATTTGATGTGTTGTGACTTTCATTGTCAGCCAGCTACCAAAGTCTGGATAAAATATGAGAGGTTCATCTCACAGTTACCCTCCACTAACAGGCACATATAAGCTTCCTTGAAAGTTTAGAGAAGAAAAATAATAATATCCTAATTACTAATAATTGTTTTCATTGTGAAACAAATACTTCCCAAAGAAAGGAAGAATAGATGAAGTTCAGAGTTATGGATGCACACCCTGTAAACTGAGTTGTAAACCAATCCAGAGGGGTACCAGAGAAACAGGAATGACCACTCCTAACTGAAAATAATGAAGCATGCTCAGAGTCATAAGAGACCTACAGTCCTGGGCAGACTTGCATGGTCTGTGCTTATGGCATCACAGCTTTGCTGATATTTGTATTTAAGCCACATTAAGTCCAGTTTGGATAGGCTTTAGAAACTCTACAATCACAAATTTTAATTGCAGTGCAGATACAGCACAAACAAGAATTATTAATATATGGTTGGAATTACAGTTATATTTTTTTCTTTGTTCAGTTTCACTCTTCTTTTTGATAATGTTCTCTAATTTATCTGTTTCCCAAAAAATGAAGCAATGATGACAAAATTATCAAGATTTTTCCATTAGAGATTGACTGAGACATGAGTAAAGAAATACCACATAACAGATATGCATGTCAAAAATACATGTAAAAAAATACAGTAAAAATATATTTTCCTCATCACAAGCTCTATTGACTCTACAGCATCACTACATACAGTGTAAACATACATGCCCTTGCTATTTCCTGTCATTGTGCCAACACCATGACACCTTTGTCAAAAGCAACAAAGATAAATAAAAAGTTATATTATTTTGAACCAAATATTCAAAGCCTCTTAAACATAATACTGAAAAGAGAAGAGTCAGTGAATGGAACAACTGAAAGCGTTCTGCCTCCCTTTACTGCCTGCCAAGTTTTCTTCTTAAGTAGTTAACATAATTAATCACTTAAAAATAAGTCCCTCATAATAAATTACAGTTTTTATTGAAAGGAATTAATAACTAATACTAAAACTGAAGAATTGATTTTACAAATCCAAACACCTGAAATCAAGTAATTCCTGTTGCAGCATATTCTTTACACAAGTTTATCAATTCCAGGAAGTTTATCTTGTACTTTTACCATTAATTGAGATGAATGACTAAGGTAACTCAGGTAACTCAGAATTATACCTTGGTGAATCACAAGAAATGGCAGAACTCAGAAAATTTTGCTTTCTGGATATTTTCTTAGTAGATTGGCCACGTATATAAGCTATTAACACATACATGAAGCCTGAACTTTTAGTCAGGCAGAATATTAGTTGAAATAAATAATATTCTACTTGGAAAATGGACTTCATTTGGCCAAATAAATTCACTACCCTGGAATACAGTATTTCTCCATTGTGGCTTTTTCAACATAACTATCAGGTTACTTAGGTTTAAAAAAAAAGGTTACCCCATAAAATTTCTGCCATGAACAGAGTTTTTAAATAATGTAGCACCACCTGAAATATGTAATTGTTTTTGCCAATATAAAGCATATTTTGATTATCACATTTTAATAGAGAAGGGGAAAGACCAAAACCCCCCTGCCACAAAAAACCTAAACAGCAGTTTTAAAAACATTATCAAAATAGCCAGAGGTTCATATCAGAGGTTCATATAAATAAATCACTGGACAGTTTTGTTTTGCAGATCACGAAGTCCATTTTTCCAGTTCACCAAATGTCATACACATATTAAATGCATTACAATAAATATCACAGAAAAACTTTTTCACCATGAGGTCAGTCAAGCAGCAGAGCAGTTGCCCAGAGAGGTTGTACAGTCTCCATCCTTGGAGGTTTTCAAGACCAGACTGGATAAAGCCCTGAGTAACCTGGTCTGACCTCATGGCTGACCCTGCTTTGAGCAGGAGGTTGGACTAGAGACCTATGATCTTGCGATCTCTGGATTGGGGCTTAAAAAAAAAAAAAAAAAAACCACCACTTTTCCCTTGCTAAGTTAGTGGTTAATAATTCAAATTTCCTACTCCTTGTTTTAGATTTGAGGGTGTTTTTCTTAAAATGACAATTGTATGTCTCCAAAATGAATTCACATGCCTCCTTTACATTTGAATACCAGGGAGCCATAATACACTGAAATATTTCCTCTAAATCACTACTGCTATCCTAAATTTAAAAACAATACTCAAAACAGATTTGCATATGCTTGCAACAGCTACCAACTCAACGTCTTTCACATTTCAAAAATACAACAATACAATTATTTCTGGTATATAAATGGAATATTAAATTCCTCCATTCTTACACTTAAAAGCATTCTAAAACCTGAATAGTTGAATTCATTTTAAGAAAAATATTTCTAGAATTATAATAGTTTTCATTGTGGTTAAATTTAGGAGGTGCCACCACTAAATCAATTTTTTTCTTAAATTTAAAGAAATTTTTGCTCCAAGTTACACTGTAACATCAGTTTCACTCTTGGTGCACATGCATCCCTGTGTCTTCACCCTCCTACAGAGATGGAGACAACAGACTGGATCCAACTGCCTTTAGTTCCTTTGTGAATATGATATAGTGAGAACAGGACTCCATGTCAAAGGGACAAAGAAAGCCAGCAAGAGAGGAGAAGACTAGCAATGAATTTTTCAAGGAGAGTGTAAAGACTGCATTTTTAAAGATGGGGAAAATAAGTGATCTTGCAGCTTACTTAAAATTGTCCTGTGGATTTCAGCAAAAATACATTCAATATCTGAAGAACTATACCCAAGTTCCTAAAATAAACAGGAAAATAAAAACAAAACAAAAAACCTTGGATCTGTCTGCATGAAAACCCCCCCTCCCCCGTTCCACTAACGCTCTGTTAAGAGTCTACCACAAACTACATTTTTCTGATGAAGGTTTTTTGTTTTAAAGATTCAGTCAGCCAGTTAAGAAACCTATTCAAACTGCAAGAGATAAACAACATCTGGTAAGACCTGCAGATTCCCAAATGACTCAAAAGTTACTGAAAACAGATGGTTCAGCCTTGACAATTAAATATATCTATATCAGTATACTCTGATCAATTGGAAACATAGATGAAACCACATCTAGCTTCAGCTATCTTATGAAAAGCAAAAATTCCAACTACATGACATAGTTTCCATACTCTAAAATCATACAGTGTAATTCCATGACTCAGCTATGGAAACGTAGTATGCTAATTTTTACTCTAATGATGAGTAGTAATCAAAACCTAAAAGCTTTTGTTTTTGTTTGTTTAAGAATGTAAATAGACTTTCCAAAGTGGTCAAAGAAATCTTACCCCAGCAGAATTTTAGCATGAACCTCTTTGTTAGTCCTTGAAATTTCTCTCAAAGACGTAATTTCTGCATCAAACCAAAATCCTCTTTCTTCTGGAGTCTCAACATTGTAGTTAACCATTACCACATCACCCACTTTTAGTTCACTCCACTTCAGAATGGTTCTTGCTCGTGGTCGAAGATTATTGATGTCCATTTCTACTATGCCATTCTCTGGATACCTTGAAAGGCAAAACCAAACAGAAGTGACAATTAGTACTCCCATAGTAGTAAGAAGTAAGATAAAGAAAACATTTTTCAAAAGCACAATTTTCAAAATAACTTTTGGGAGTGTTAATGCTTAAGTGTGTTTAAAAATTTGACCTAGTATGTTTTTTTAAATTTTATCTTATTTTGAATGCAGGCCAGACACTGGACTAATCTCATATGGGGGAAAAAAAAAAAACAGCCTCCAAGAATCCAAAGAAAAAAAAATCCATTAGCATTAGATGTTTTTTTTAATAAGAATGCCCTCAAATTCAAGTTTCAACATAGGCACAGATCAAATTTGATCTCAGTAAAATCAAAGGTCCCAATTAAGCCAACAGTGAAAAAGCAACAAAAATTAAAACTTGAATTTTCAAAACTGCTCAATTCTAGCTTAACTCTGCTTTCATACATTTGTTACACTTCCACCAACTTCAATAGCAACATATTTAGGATAATACCAGCTCATTTTA